TTTTATGCCCCTTTTAGCCTTTAAAACATCATATATGATATCAATGGGAAATACATATAAGCCTAATCACTTTGGGTAATCACATGTTTAAGCAACTTTTAAACATCATTATGAACACATATAGCATTTACTTAGGTAATCTCATAATTAACCCAAGAGTTATAAGACATTAAGCCGTCCACTCACCTCAAATGAGCGTGATGAAGTTCTACCCTTCTCGGTTGAACTCCGGTCAAACTCCGGTGAACTTTGACGAACTCCGACGATAACTCCGACGACTCTTTAAACCTTGTGAAAGCTCTCAAATCACCTTTGACACGTTCCTAACATGGTTTTATCATCACAAAATCCATATCAATACAAATAACCTTTAAAAGGTTATTTTCCGGCGAACTGGTCTCTTTGGCCTCTAAGTCCGTTCCTGGACTTAGAACCACCTTTCAACCCATAAACCCATGCTTATAACATGTGGAACCATACTAAAGGTCCTTCACATGATATATACCTCAAATGGTAGAAGAAAAATAAAGGAAAAGTTATGATAAGGTTGTTACCTTAATTTTCACACTTTTTCCTAGCTTTTTCCTTCTATACTCTTCCTCCTTGGACTCCTCTTGCTTGAGCTTTGTTCTTTGATATGGAGGATGTATTTTGCAGGGGGTTTCTTCTCCTCTTGATGAGCCTTGGCCGAAAATGAGGATGGAGGTGAGAGGAAGTACCACCTTTTGGCTTATTCCACCATGATAACATGGCAAGGACCCCCCATATGTCCTTTTGATGCCAATCCCCTCAAGTCAACCACCCCTACACCCCTCCTCTCCAATCAGCCAGCCTTCCCCCCTCTCACAGCCCACATAATTTCGTGGGTTGGCCCCCACATGTGTGGGAGGTCACCCCTTTTTGTCCAAAAGTGTACAATCGGGCCCGAAAGTTGTATTTCTCGAACTGTTTTAACTATATTTTATTTTATCGGGTCAAATAAAATATAACACTTACTTCCCATCATAGTGGGCCTTTAGGATGATTATACATTCCCCAACTTTAATTTGGAAGTCCCCGAAATTCATTTCGGACTGTTATCTGATAAATTATCCAAAACCGGTAATTGGGCCTCGTTTGACCAATCGGTCAACCCAATGCCTTTCTTATGGCCCAAAATGAATGTCCACCACCATATAACTATTATCTATACCAAGATGAATAAAATGTGCGGTCTCGGGAATATCGGGTGGCCCCCGCTCCCGGTGTGGGCCCCACGTGCAACTTACTATTCACGCAAAAGAATTAACAAAAATTTACAACCTCGTAAATTCATTAACCATTTCATAAGGTTCAATACATAATTTACATAAAAGTAAATATACTTGGGGACGGTGTTACACATACTTCGTGAGGTTAATTGGGCTACAGATAGATTGGCCCAGCTACATTCCAATCAATTGATTATTTTTAATCGGGCCTCTAATCTTCTGGGCCCTGTGAAGAGAGCTTATTACATGGATAAATTTGGCCTTCCCCACATCAGGAACTAAAGTGGATTCTTAGTTTGTACGGTCTTTTCTGTTTTACTTTTATTGGGTCTGGTCTAATTTCTTTGTTTCACTGTTATGTTTCCGGAGGTTTTTTTTGGCCTAGTCCCCCCTTGTTCTGTAATTTATCTTATTTAATAAAATCCGGTAAATATCACCCGACATTTACCCCACTGATTTTGGTGGTTGGCCTTCCGAGGTTTAAAAAAAATGTCAATACTGACGTCACCGACTTTCGCGGCAATGTCAATGCCATAAAAATGACATTGTTAAAAACGATGTAAATTCTATATAGAATGGTGTTGTTTTTTTAATTGAAAAGTACATTATTGACAATGTATTATGATGTATTATAATGTTTTCTATACATAATGGTGTTGTTTTTTATTATAATGTATTATTATAATGTCATTATAGGAGAATAATGACAATGTGGTAAACAATGTCAATGCATGACAATGTGATAGACAATGTCATTATATGACAATGTAATGATCGATATCATTATTTGAAAATTTATATCATTGTGTGAAACAAAAATAACATAAATATTATATTTAGGATTAGTCATTGATGATATTGTGATATCATGACATTATGTGATAACAATGTTAAATTATCATGTGAAATTCTGATATTAATAGTATGCCATTATCAACATAAATCAATGGTAAACATTAACTATTAAATATAGAAAAATTATCTCAACGTTGGGAAAGTACTATAATGGTAAAAAATGTAGCGAATTTTGACAGCACAAATATTGTCACAATAAAAACTATATGGTGATATTAAAAATAAAGTGATAATGTTGAAAAAATGTCATAAATAGTAACACTAACACTATCAGAATTTAATTTAAATAATGAACTGTTTCTTTAAGGTAATTAATTATGACTAAATTATAATTTATATTATAATGAAAAAGAAAAAAGCATTATAACATAAATGTTTTTTTAATAAAAACCTACAAATCATTAAATCAACCAACAATCAACTCAAGTGAATGCAATTCTCAAAGAAATATTAAGAAACGAAACAAAAAGAATCAGCTTCAACCAAAAAAGACCAAACAATGACGGAAATATAACAAAAAATCAAGCGCAACCAAAAAACAAAAAGGAAAGACAGAAGAAAAGCAGAGAAAAACGAGCGGCGACGGATGAGAAATAGGAGGAAAGGATATGGAACGAAGAAGAGATCTGGAACATCTTCATTGATGCCGCCCTATACCTCGAGCCACCGTCGATTGTCTCTTTGGTTGCAAGCTCAGGCTTACCACGGCTAATCGGACTCCAGACGCCGCTGCCTTGTCTCCATCTTGTTAGAAATTAACGCACTCAACACGAAGAACAATATAAAGAACACACGAAATTTGGTAACCTAGTGCGTCACGAATGACTACGTCTGGAGGCGCTACCAAGCCATGAATGTTATTAATATTTGATTATAAGGGAGAAATCTTGTATATATAGAGAGTAAACGTAACCCCTAAAATAACTAGGACGCGCGCGGCCCACATCTGTACGGCCCAAACTGTACGGAAACTCGCGGCTCCTCAAAAACGGACCAAAATTTTTGGGAACTCGCGGTATTTGCATTTGGATAGAAAAGAATTTGTCAAAGGAGAAGTAAGTGTGTTATTGTGCATCAAGCATATTAGGGAAGTCCAATATCCAGAGTGACTTGCTAATGTGGTTTTAGCCTCCCAAGCCTCCAACCTGGAATATGTGCGTGGATTACACAGACCTGAACAAGGCTTGCCCAATGGACTCTTTCCCTTTGCCAAGTATAGATCAGTTGGTGGATCAAACCGTTGAGTGCGAACTCCTTTCTTTCATGGACGCATTCAGGGGATACCATCAAATTTCCATGCACCATGACGACGCTGAGAAGAACTCATTTATCACCCCAGATGGAGTTTTCTGTTATCTTGTAATGGCCTTTGGACTAAGGAACTCTGGGGCCACCTTCACTAGAATGGCCTTTGGGCTAAAGAACTCTGGGGCCACCTTCACTAAGGTAGCTTGTTGCATTTGTATTCAGAAGAGATTAGACAGCAAGAGGATGCAAGAAGAAGGGGACGCCCGATGGGTAGCTGCTACAGTTAAATCAAGGGTAAAAGTGGCATTTAGGCTTATCAATGGGTCGGGTCTAGACCCGGACCCGATCCGAATCTGACACTTTATTTGAGGGTATGGGTCTAAATTTAGAACCGTTTTCCGGATCCGGATCCGAACCCGTTACATGATAGAGAAAATGGGTTGAACATGGATTTTTAAGTTCTGGCCCGTTTTGGACCCGACCCGTGATGATGTAATTATAGTTATAATTTTTTTACATATACACACACAATATACATAGAAATATTTAAACATAAAATAAGGAAAATAATCAAATATAAAAAATGTTTTAACATTTGTAGGCTTAGTTAGTGGTTGACCCACTATAATGGGATTTTCGTTAATGAGCTATTACTCTAGGTTCTCTATGAGTTCACTAATGTACATATAACATACTCCGTATATTATTGTATAGCTTATACGGAGTAATGAATTGAACAACATTTTGCTTATTTATATATGATCTCTTCCAACATGATTTTTTTTGTTATATACTCCATCCGTCCCGAATTGTAAGATACTTTACGGTTTTCGATGTTTGACCAATGATAAAGCAAACAGATCTCTGTCCGCACTCAATTTTTTTAGAAAAAAGAATCACATATTCAGAAACTACATTAAAAGTTTTACAAAGTCACAAAAACTAGAATCAAATTTGATAAAAAAAAATTGATAGATAAAGTAGTAAGAGATTAAGAGTGATTTGTGTTGACCAAGTGAATAGGAAAGATATATTACAAAATGGAACTGGGGGAGTATTATACTCCCTCCGGTTTTTAATAAACTTCACACGTTCCTTTTTGGGACGGTCTAAAATAAACTTCACACTTCCTTATTTCCTTTTTTGGCAAAAGAAATCTACATCAAAACAGTGACAAACAGTGCCGACTGCCGAACAGTGTCTCAACAGTATCAAACAGTGTCTCTACAGTGCCAAACAGTGTCAAACAGTGTCTCAACAGTGTACTCTACAGTAAAGTCAAATTTCTTTCCTTATTTTGTGTGAAGTCAAACAGTGAAGATTAAAAAAACCGGGGGTAGTATTTATTTGCATATGTCATTTAGTTTTTTTGCGGGTATACCCGGCCCGGGTCCGAGATCCGCCGGATCCAAATCTAGAACATATGTTTAGGACCCGAAAGGTAAATGGGTCCGGATCTGGACCACAAAAAATTCAACGGATATGAATATGGAATTTATAGGTTTGATAGGCCTAGTGGCATTAAGTAAAATTGTAGTTATGTTTAAGACCATTTCATGTTTATGACAGGCCTAGTAGTTATGTTATAAGTAAAGTTATTATGGTCTTGTTTAAGACCATTTCTCAACTCATAATACACATGTACAGGTTGCATATCATCCGCGTGCACGTCTACGAACCTGCAGAACCTGACCATCTTATCAAACACGAGCTTGAGGAAATGTCGAGCGGCGAAGAACCGATTGAGGAATCTAATGGAGATTCATCGGTGAATGTGACGCTAAATCTCAAAGATCGATCAAAGGTGACAACCGGTTCATCAGTCATACGGATATCTGGATGCAATTTCGCTTGCTTTATGCGTTTGTATATTTAATTCTAATTTTAATATTCTCTTTGGTTTTGGAATTTTATGTGTTATGTTTGGTTTGTGCAGAAAATGGTGAAGACGAAGGAGAAGACGAAGCAGATCTTGTCGGAGCATGCAGATAAGATTGCCAAACGGGCTGAAGAGCATGAGACCTTCATCACCAAGGTATGAAAACCCGTTATTCACACACGCGCCTCTGTATTATGCATTTCCTCTATTTGGGTGATGTTTGGATCTTAGTTTATGCTTCACAAGGTCCGAACGAACAACGCAGTATTGATTGAATAGTTTGGTTGAATTTGTTGTATCTGGTAGAGAATGATGCTTCAAAGATAACCCATATCTTTGTATCTGTTTTATTTTTGAAAGAAATAAATAGGAACGGTTATATTGAATAAACTTAGTTTTAAGCTTTCTGATGACTGATGAGAATAGTTGTGGTTACTCCCAAATCCTAATACGTACTATATGTTGATTGACTGCCTCTACCCATGGTGGTGAACAGGTTACTCATCTACTTGGTGTTCTTGGGTTTGGGGCATTTTGCTTTATTTTGGGTGCAAGTAAGTGTAATTCCTAGTATTTCAGTTATGATGAAAAAATGTGTCATTTTAGTGCTTGTTGGCCCTTTTAAAAAAGTGCTTGTTGGTATATTCCTTGTATTAATACTCGAGATAATTCATTGATTAACTTTGCAGGGCCACAAGACATTCCTTATGTATACTGTGTGTTCTATGTCACCTTTGTTCCACTTCGGTGGATTTACTACCGTTATAAGAAATGGCATTATTATCTTTTGGTAAGCACCTATTAACCTGACTTTCTGGTCCTCCTCTTTGGTAGATTAAGAGCCCATTTGGTATGGGTGAATTTGGCTTAAATTGGTGAAGTTTAAATTATGGATGGTATTCATAAAGTTTCTTGGTAATGAAAAAACATAGTCCCTCTGTCCCAATGTACTTTGCCAACTTTCCTTTTTGGTTGTGCCAAAAACATTTCCACTTTCTCACTAAAGTAACTAATGTGTGATTCTGCTCGTTTCTGTATCGTTTGCACATATCTCAACTATACAATTTTTTTCTTATTTCTCACCTAATTCAAAGTTGGCAATGTCTAATGAGACGGAGATAATATTACCTTCGTCCCATTGGTCATTGTCAAGTTAGAATTAGGTGAAATATAAGTAAAAGTTGTGTGGTTGGGGTTTGTGTAGAGGAGATAGAAATGAATAGAGCTACTAATTAATGACTCTAAAATGAAAATGGTAAAGTTTTTTGTACAAACAAAACAGGAAATTTGGCATAGACCAATGGAATGGAGGAGTATAAATTATTCTAGAAACACACAAGAAAAATGGAAGATCAACTTCAAGAACCGAAGCTCTAAAAGTTCCTCTAGCTGTACGTGTTTTAATTTTTAACCAATTCAGAACGCACCACAATCAAATGAGATAGTGTTTGGTAAAAGTGTTGGCTACCAAGCCGTAAAAGTGACTGCCAAATTGCTTCTAAGCTATACTTAATCTGATCTCAGTTACTCTGTATTATCTTTCATGCATATATTTAGGGTTCAGCATTTTGGTTCGGTTTCACCCAATCAAACATTCAAACCGATCCAAACTAATCTTATCCGACACCAAAGCATTCGCAATTCAGTTTATGTTCTGATTTTTTCCAAAACGTATTAATCTTGTCAAAACGGAATCAAACAAAAGTTACAAAACCAAACCCTTCATAAAATACAATACAATAAACCTTATTGTATATTTGAAAAATAACAATTTCAAACCTATCCAAACCAAACATAGTTTGGTTTTAAATTGGTAATCATTTGCCCTGCACATTTTATACCGAACAAAAAAAACTACCCCAACATGAAATGCCTAGCACTACATGCATTCTTTCTTTTGGGGAGGTAAGACGGATATAGAGGGGACAAGACTTGGAGTGTATTATTGAACAAAGTAGTAAGGTTCATTACAAGTTTATGATTTTATAATAACTTCATGACTGCTAATTTCTGTCCTCCAACTCGTAATAATTGCATATGAAGTCTTTAACTGCTATTGGAGTTGAGGTGTTGAATGAAGGCGACATGTTTCTTTCTTGTTGTGCAGGATTTTTGCTACTACGCTAATACAATATTCATAATCACAATTCTCTTTTATCCTCAGAATGAAAAACTTTTCATGGTTTGTTTCTCATTTGCAGAGGTCCGTTTCTTTAACCAAGTCCACCTGATTTCCAACTTGATAATGTCTCTGCACTAATTCATTTGGTTTCCATTGTAGGGCCCGTTGGCATGGGCATTGATTGTTTGGCGATGTAGCCTTGTTTTTAGCTCTGCCGATAAAATCGTTAGTGTCTTCATACATCTCTTACCTGGTAAGATATATCCATTTCTTAATGCTGTTCTAGTGTTGTTACTTCTGTAGATGTAAGTTATTTACTTGACACTGTTGCCTGATGTGAAGTAATTGATACATTGGGCCTGTATCACCCCAAAAAGATGCTCAGAAGGTAGGTGTATTTTACATTAAACAGTTGGCATGCAATACTCAACATCACCCAGGTCTAATGTCATGATAAATTGGTTCAAAAAGGATACTTAAGCTGTGATATTTAGTTCACAGGTACTCTGACCCTTCAAGCAATTGAAATGGTATATCCAACATGGAGAAACACGCATAGTATAGTTGTTGTTTAATGGTTTTCATATAATCTTCATCTCTATTTGAGCTCCTTTCATGTATTAAATAGGTTTTGAATTACAGAAAAGAGTTTTTGCCATTTTTAGTCCTCCGACTATTATGTCATTGACACTTTTGGTACTCGACTTTGATTTTTTCCACTTTTAGTCCTTGACTATTGTGTGAAAGACACTTTTGGTACCCATGTTCGAAATTTTTCATATTTAGTCCTCCGACTTTTATAAAAGTGACTTTTGGTACTTCAACTATTGTAATAATGACATTTTAAGTCCTCCATTTCTTGTGTCAAAATCATAGTTGAAGGACTAAAAGTGTCAATTCGATAATACTCAGGGATTAAATATGAGAAACTTTGAAGTTGAGGACTAAAAATGTCTCTAGCACAATAGTCAAGGACTAAAATTGGAAAAATTAAAAGTGAGTACCAAAAGTGTCAAAGACACAATAGTCGGGGGACCAAAAATGGCAAAAACTCCTTATGTTCTACATGATATTCAGGATTGGTAAAAATATTCCTCACACAGTATTTGGCAAAAATGCATCCTTATGTTCTACATGATATTCAGGATTGGTTTTCTTCACAATTCGGTGGTGGGATCCTGTTTATTTTGGAGCCATGCATCCAGAAGGAAATGACCGTAGAGCTTCATGGCCTTACGCAGAAAGCAAATCCTACCTCTGGACATGGCTTTTTTTGGTCCCCTTGATAACATACACTCTCTGGCAGATTCTCTATTTTCTCATTGTTGATGTGTTACGCCGCCAAAGATTTTTAAAAGATCCTGAGGTCATGACTTCTTACAGGTTGGATCTCGCTCTTTGTTTGTTGTAATTTCTATTGTTTGTTGTAGTGAAAATGATTATTGTGGCTAAAAATGCTAATTTTGATAGTTGGACGAATAAACTGAATTATCTTCAAATGTTGTTTAAAAGTATTTCCTTTTATAGAGTAAAGGAGGTAGTATTAGGAAAAAAATGAATGTAGAAATGTCATTTTCTTTAATATCAGTCTACAACTCCTACATCCTTGTTTCATTGTACAATAGGGAGCTATCAAAAAAAGCCCAGAAAGCAAACAACATGTGGTGGCGTCTGAGTGGGTTGCTTGGGGACGAGAACCGCCTGTTGATGTACATTCTTCTGCAAGCAGTGTTTACTATGGCAACCACGGCACTGACCGTACCCATATTTTTATCATACGAGTTGCACGTGACCTTTCAAATCCTCAAGATCTCTGCATCTACATGGAACGGAGGGAACTTTTTGGTAGAAGTGATGCCCAGACAGGCAATTCTCAAGCAGCAGAAGCAGAAATCGGAGATCACTACTTCTGGCCAGTAGCAAGTAGTTGTTCTAGTGATTAATGTCCTGTCTATCCTCTGAAACTAACCCCAGCCCCTTTGCCCTGCTCAAGGGCCCTTCCTGCTGCTGGCTTTCCCCTTCTCCTCCCTCCAACCTCCAACATCAATGGGAAAGACCAGAAGACTAGATTCTTCACTGAAAACATCTAGGGGAAAAACAGTTTCAAGCAGCTGGGGCAAACACTACAAAAATTAACCTTTATGCTGTTGTCATGTATTGCCATTTTAGAAAATTCAACAAGTACATACGAAGCATGCTTATCTATATTTCTTACATCCACAGCTTTTCGAAATTGAAAAACCTTTTCGGAATATGTAACTTACATAAACATCCAATTCCATCGTAATTACACATTTTATACTGAGCGTTATTGCGTACAACACCAAAAACACTTTTGTCGCATGTGCCGTTCTTTTTCTTTCTTTGCCTTTTGCATTCTACACCACGTTTTGCAGGTTGCAGCAGACCCAAATGAATAGTTGACGCAATAAAAGTGTTATAAATGTTTGTATCAGTTAAAAGTAGTGTGCTCACCGTTCTCACATTAAGCATAGTTCTTATTCATTTACAAATACACACACAGACAATTCTCGAAGTAGAGGTTGCCTGTTTTGATTTGTTGGGTATCGCCGTATTGGTGTAGATGTAGCGGACCGGCTGAACATTTATCCACTTTGGATATTGGCCCCGGCCCAAACTAATCGGTCTGTTGGGTTGGTGGCTAAGTTAGGCTTTCAGAATAACTTTAGCTGGAAATCGGATGATCATTTACCAGCCGAGCTTCGTGGGGTGTTAAAGTTGGATGAGATGTTAGTTCCTTATACTTTTTGGTCTGTTTGTTTTGATTTTTTTTACACTTTGTCAAAAGGGAATGCCCTTTCTCAGGTTTTGGCTTGGTCCCCCTCGCTTTTTGTAAGTGTTTGCAATATTTTTATAATATTCGACAGATATTCCCCGGTATCTGTCCCACCAACTTAGGTGGTTTACCTACCGGGTTAAAAAAAAGAAAAAATACACACACACACAAATCTTTAGGTCCAGAATTCTGGACTAGAACCGCCGTCTAGGCGGTGGTGTTTGGGCCACTTTCAGGTGTAAGTTTTTGGTGAAAATTTTTGGGGATGTTATTTGATGGTACCATGGACCCGAACCATGGTCCAATTACGGAATCCAGCCCATAACGGGATCAGCCCTCAACGGGATTAGCCTAATAAACAGGACAAGCTCATAGACGGGATCAAGCCCTAAACGGGATTAATATAATAAGCCGCTGGGCCTAATTAGGAATCAGGCCCACGATAGGAACCCACAACCAGGCCAGGCTGGACAGCAGACCTCGAGCCTGGGTGGAGTTCTAGTGAGGCCGGGATATTCCTAGGACTTACGTGGCAGGCTATCATTCGAGCATAGCTATCTGGCAGCATGCAGGATTCATCGGAAGAACGTGGACTTTAAGGAGGCAATCATTGCACAACGTCCAAGACGTTACAAGAGTTTTATTCGTTTAGAATATAATTAATAGCATTTATTGTATCAGTTTCCTCCTTAAATACTAGCTCCTAGGGTCTATAAATACTTCCTATATATTTTCTATGAAGGGATCGAAACTCCGAAATAATAATACTGCCTTACGCTGCCCATTAACCCATATTTGATCTCATTCGTAGATATAGCTCTCGTAGTTGGATTAAACTACATCATATCATTTGGTGCTCTCATTGAGAGAACGATTTACGAAGAGCGATGGTTGGATCACACAGTCACAATCGTGTGGGTAGTAACCAAGGCGGAGATCGTTACAATCAGGTCGTGATCGAGGACGAAGGATCAAGATCACGGCGGAGCGATTTCCGGAGGCGCAACGACAACATCGTTACCCAAGGCGATTTGAGAAACCAGCTCCAAGGCGTGGGGAGTTCCATACGAACGCCGGGTACCAGGAATCTTATTCCCAACGTTGACCCAGCGTCCCAGCCCAAGCTTTGGCAAGCTTAGCAACATTCCAGAGGGCGGTGGAGATCTTGACTACTACTTTCCAAGGTATCATTCCTGATCCTAATGGGAGACCTCCTTCCCCTCGCCGGGCTCCATCTATGGTCCAGCGAGAGAGGGGGATCTCTCCGCAACCACAAAGGAGTTCTCCACCAGCCAGGTCTCAACGCTCCCACCACTCCAGGCAGACCCCGAGGGCTTCTATGATGGATCGGATGGGCGGACAAAGGGTTTCTGTTCATGAAAGGCTCTCTTCTAGGGCGGAGCGTAGTGAGGAGGCATCCTCTGTGGCCGTTTCGTCCCACCTCCGCAATGCGCGTAAGGGAGATCTCCGAGACAAGATCAGCGCGAATAGGCATGCCCGCAGGGATCGTCGGTCCCCACTGCACGCCCAGACAGGCCATAATAATGACGACCTCAGGAGGAGGCTAGACAAGCTCAGAAGGGAGGTGGATGGCAGGATCAACCTCAATCATGATGTGAGGATTCCAGAGCCATTCACTCGTCAGATCATGGATGCACCACTGCCGCAAGGATACAGGCCATGCAACATCGAGGCCTACCGTGGAAAGACTGACCCCAACATCATATCTCCGGGTACGTAGCCTATATGGTAATGATGGGATATGATGATGCCATCAAGTGCAGAGGATTCTCCGGGTACGTAGCCTATATGGTACGACTCTTTACCAGATGGAAGGATACGAAACTTTCGGGAGTTGGCCCATGCATTCGTAAACCCGTTTTGCCAGCCCCAAAGATTCCAAGAAGAATTTCTCTCACCTCTTGGGAATCAAACAAGGACCCAGGAGAGCCTGGTTGATTTCCTAGTACGCTGGAGGGATGAGTCAGTAAAGGTAGAAGACTTGGATAACAAATCTGCTGTGGCTATTCTCACTAACGCGGTTTTGGCCCCCAAGCCGCCGACCTGGAGGATGTGCGTTGACTATACAGACCTAAATAAGGCATGCCCAATGGACCCCTTCCCTTTACCAAGTATAGATCAGCTGGTGGATCAAACCGCTGGATACGAACTCCTTTCTTTTATGGACGCATTTAGGGGATACCATCAGATCTCCATGCACCCTGATGACGCTGAGAAGACCTCATTAATCACCCCAGAAGGAGTTTTTTGTTACCTATGGAGAAAGCCAGTGCATATGATCCTGAACTTGCTACCAAAGAGTATGGATCTGATTCTGAAATGCCACATTCAAAGGAGAATAAGGAGGATTGGTATGCAGCCCTACCTGGCATTATAAACAAAGTCCATATACTGCTTAACTTAAAGAAAATAAGGGAAGATTCATAGTTGTTATCAGCCTTAGCATCATCTAATAAAGATCATGTGGTGAATAAAGAAGAATTCATTATTGTGGGAAGGAGGAGAAGGCAGAAGAAACCCATACCACAGACCCCGGGGATGACAACTAGAAATGCTGCCAAAAGGCAACCAAATACTATTCCCCACCCCACTCAATGAATGGTCTTATATGGAATTTGAGAGGTCTAGCAGCCTCCGGGCCAAGACTTTCTCACATAATTACCAAATGGAGGATCAATTTTCTTGTTGCTATTGAACCTATGGTTCAATCTAATAAGGCTGATTACTTTAAGCTGGATTTAGGTTTCTCTAATGTTCTTTTTAATCCATTGAATAAGGTTTGGATATTCTGGGACTCTGGTATGATTAATATCTCAGATGTTACATGGGGGCCTCAGTCTACTCATTTTAAGATTGCTTATGGGACACATACGGGGTGGGTTACTGCTATCTATGCTAGACATACCCAGCTTGAAAGAAGAGAATTATGGGAGCACCTTACTGAATTGGCAGATCATATGCAGGGTCCCTAGCTTGTTGGAGGGGATTTCAACACAATAATGACAAATGCAGAACATAAAGGGGAAGTGACACCTAATCAGGCAAGTATGTTGGAATTTCAGAGTTGTATCTCTCATTGCAATCTTATTGATCTACCATATTCTGGTTGCAAATACACTTGGACTGGAGTCCGATCTAGGGGAAGACTATGGAGAAGGTTGGATAGATGTTTGGCTAATGATGCTTTCCTGGACTTATTTGACAAAATCAAGCTAACTAATATTAACCCTTCACCCTCAGACCATTCCCCAATGTTACTTCAGTGTTCTAATCTCTATCAATCTGGCCCTAAGCCCTTTAGATTCCTAAACATGTGGCTCTCCCATAATTCATTTTTACAGGTTGTTACCAAGAATTGGAATGAAATCCCTACTGCAGGGGGTGTATGGGTTAGTCAATAAACTTCAAAGGCTAAAGAAGGATCTAAAAAGGTGGAATAAAGATGTATTTGGGAACATATTTGATGATATAAAATTCTCAGAGGAGTTGGTAGCTAAGGCTGAGCAAGAATATCTGGATCATAATGCTGAGGAAAAAAGGGAGGACTGACAACATAAAAAAGCCATTCTTTTGAGTAAATACAGAATTGAGAGGAAATTGTGGAAACAAAAAGTTCATGTGAAGTGGCTTAAAGATGGTGATTGCAACTCTCACTATTTTCACTCTCTTGTTAAAATTAGAAGAAGGAGGCAGTTTATCAGTTCTATAAAAGACTCTGAAGGCAGAACCTTATCTACTGTACCTGAGATTGGTAAAGGGGCAGTTGATTTCTACTCTGACTTGTATGCTGTTGACTCTGTGACTGCTAACAATGATATTTTGAGGCATATCCCTGCAATTATCGATCAAGAAGATAATGAGTATCTCACAGCAATACCAAGTGAAGAAGAAGTTAAGTCTGCAGTATGGGATTTAATCCGAAATGGCCCCCCCGGTCCTGATGGCTTTACAAGAAAGTTCTACAAAAAATGTTGGCATATAGTGGGGGCAGATGTTGTGAGAGTTGTTCAGGAGTATTTCATTGGCATACCTTTTCCTAAGGGTTTCTCTAGCTCTCTTATTGTTCTGATTCCTAAAATTGATGCTCCTGATACTTTTTCAGACTTTAGACCAATCTGTCTATCTAATTTCTCTAACGAAATTTGTACTAAAGTCTTGGCTTCTAGATTGGTCAATCTTCTGCCTAAAATTATTTCTGAGGAGCAGGCTGGCTTTGTAAAAAATAGGGACATTTCAGACCAAATTTTGATTGCTCAGGAGTTAATTCACTCCATCGATAAAAATGTTAGAGGATCCAATATGGTTATAAAGCTAGACATGGCTAAGGCATTCGATAAGCTCTCATGGGACTATCTGTTTGATGTTTTAACTAGATTTGGGTTTTCTGCCAAATTCATATCCCTTATTAAGGCAAACTTACAATCTACTTATTTATCAATCCTTATTAATGGTTGTCCTCAAGGTTTTTTCCAACCTAAGAGGGGAGTCAAACAGGGGGACCCATTATCTCCATTCTTGTTCATC